AAACAAAACAAAATGGCTTGGGAAAGTCAGAAAGGCAGTAATTTCTTGTATCACAAACACAAGGACCTGAATTCATATCCTCACAACCCACATAAAAAGTAGAGGGTGGTATGGTGAGCAGATGAACTTCTGAGCTTGGCCATGTTAGGGACCCCAGTGCCTCAGACTCCTGGGAATGGTTTGGCCTTCTTCAAGTCAGGATCAGAATGGCAAAGCCTTCCCCTGGTCCTAGTATGGATGCTGACATTGTGTGCAGAAATGGTCAAGCAGTTTCCCCTCCCAGATGACTGCAGCCTCAGGCTGCTCAGAGGCTCTTACTAAGATCAGCTATCCTAGATCTCCCTCCTTCCCACTGTGCATAATAAACTCCTGGGTTTCCCTCATGCTGCTGGTGTACCGGCTTAGACCACAGGGCCCACACAACCCCAGCTTTTCAGTACATGTGTTTGGTCACTCCTTCACTCCATGTTACCCCAGTTTGTGCAGGTAGCAGCACAACCCTCTGGTAAACACTGTGGGTATGTGTGTGCTGGGGGGGTGGAGGGGGTTGGATACTGAAGGTGGATTCTGGAACCTCACTGGCCAGGCAGCCCAACAGAATCTCTAAGGTCACTGAATGATCCTGCCTAAATAAATAAATGCGGAGTTCAACCAAAGGACACGATGTCAACCCTGAGTATCTACACGCATGCATGAATACCCACACACATGTACACATACCACACAAACACACACAACTTTGAAAACAAATCTTGAGAAGCCCAGGCAGTGAGGGCTTTGTGGGCTGTAGTCTGCCATAGCTACTCAGAACTTCTCAATGGTGGATGCACAAAGCAGAACATCCAGTCAACACACATTCTGTAACACCAACTTTACAGACATTGAAATTTGAATTGTAAGTCATTTTCATGTAATGAACTCAGTTTCTCAACCACATTGACAGGTAAAAACCTTAGATTGCAGGCAGGATGGGAGCAGGTGAGCCAGCCTTGGCTTATGGGGTGGTAAGGAAAGATGGCTGGTCTGGTTGTCTGCTGGGAACTGGGAAACACTGGTTCTGTGCTCAGAAAAATGTGAGCTTTCATTGCAGAAGTGTTTGGTTGGTGGTTGATGCCCCCCAAGCCAGTGACATTTCCCCCAGTGTGTTCTGAGCTGGGAGCTCAGTCAATAAAACACTTGCCTTGTACGCACAGGACCTGTTGGATCTTTGTATGCCATGGGTTTGTTGTTTTTTGACTGTGCTAGAATGTGCTCACTCCATCACAGTCAGGCTAGCTTACCTGTCCTCTTCCCGTGAGACCTTGTCTCCTCCCTCCATAAACATAGTTTTGGATGATGCCTGAAAAATGATACCCAAGGTTGACCTCTGGCTTCCTCATGCAGGATGACATGGCACCTGCATACATAGGAGCATGTATGTACACACACACACTCCCATCTATTTTCTCCTCTGGTTCTCAACCTAGTCTGTGCTTCCTTTTTGATTCCCACCCTCATCCTCCCACCCTTGCATTGTGTTTGCTTGGAGATCAGAGTGCAAAGCTAGACACAGAAGTAGGGGCCAGGCAGTGGCAGCAAACACCTTTAATCCCAGCACTAGAGAGGAATGTAAGGCAAGTGGAGACAGGAGTACAGTGTGTTCAGTTTGCAGCCATGCTGAGGACAGGATCATCCCCCTTTTGGTCTAAGCCTTGGTAGAGGTAAGAACTCTCTAGTAGCTTGGCTGCTTTGCTTCTCTGATCTTCAGGCAAGCTTTATTTGTTAGATCATTAAATATCACCACATCTAGTGTAGCCAAAATGGCTGGATTATAGAGAGATCAGTTGAAGGGAGTGTAGTCCAGCCCCTGGGGCTGCAGTTTAGAGTAGGGGGCGGAGTGTGCCAGACAGCATCTGCTTTGATGTTAATAGGCACCTCAGCCTATTGTTCTGGGTTAACACTTTGTATATGTACTTTCCAGTTTACTGGAGTCTAATCTTAGGTTCTCATTTCCTTTCCTTACTTTCTTTAACATTATTAAGCTACTCCTTGGGTGTATTGTTTTGGCTCTTCGGTAGCTCAATTTAACTTTCTTCTTTTTAAAATTAAATGTTAAAAGGTATAACATTTTCAAGTGCTACTTTGGCTGTATCTTACATGTTTTGATATTTGGTGTCTGCTATTATTGTTTGGGGATAAATAATCTTAACTTCAGCTGGGAGGTGGTGGTGCATGCCTTTAGTCCCAATACTTGGGAGGCAGAGGCAGCCTGGTGTACAGAATGAGTTTCAGGACAGTCTAGGCTGTTGCATAGAGCCACCCTATCTCAAACATAAATTAAACAAAAATGACAAAATCTTTTCAAAAATGTTACCAATTCTTTAGTGTTTATGCGCCTGTGTATGTATGTGTATAGGCACACACATGGATGCCAGAGGACAGCCTGTCTTCCTACCATGTGGGTGCTGGGTACAGAACTCAGATCCTTAGGCTTGGGTAGCAACGTAGCTAACTTTTAAGTCCTTTAACCACTGAGCCATCTCCACAGTACTAATCTTTAATTTTTATTAGAGGTCTTATTGTAGTTTCTTTTAAAAGATTTATTATGTATACGAACATTCTGCTTCCATGTATTATCTGCACACCAGAAGAGGGCACCAGATCTCATAACAGATGGATGTGAGCCACCATGTGGTTGCTGGGAATTGAATTTGGGACCTCTGGATGTGCAGCCGGTGCTCTTAACCTCTAAGGCATCTCTCCAGCTCCTACTGTAGTTTATTAATGTTGTTTCTGCAGTGCTTTTAATGTGGTACACAAGTACCACAGTTGAGTATGGATGCCAGAGGTCAGTAAACCACCTCAGGTGTCTGTCTCCACTTTCACCTTGTGTGAGACAGGATCTCTTCTTTATTCCCATTCTATACACCAGGATAGCTAGCTTCCAGGGATTCTCCTGGAGTCCTGGAATTATAGGTATGTGCTACCATATCTGGCTTTACAGGGCAAATGAGTCAGCACCTCAAAGGCCTTTAATGTTTCTTAAATATTTAACTTCACTGAGATGTGTCTATAACCAAGCCTTTTGAAATTTATTGTCCAATACAGTCATTTTTATAAGTTGTCTAAGAATTGTGAAAATAAAGCATGCTTCATGTAACACGGAAAAAAAAAAAAAAAAAAAAACCCAGAGACAGATATTGGGATTTAAACTTCAAGCTGATGATCAGAAAAGCAAAGTAGCAGGCCACTAGCTCTTGCCACTACCTTAGGCAGAATGGGCTAATCCTGCTGCCTTCCCTCAGCATGGCTGGAGACTCCTGAAACTGAATGTCTTCCCATCCTCAGTGCGGCTGGAGAATGAATGCCTGTTCCTGAGACCTTGCTCCTTATACACCTCCCTAATGCTGGGATTAAAGGAGTGTGATTCCAAGTGCTGAGAGCATCTTTGTGTGAGCTGTTTCTCTTTAGGACTGCATCAATCTTGTATAGATCTGGGTGGCCTTGGACTCCAATCAATCAATCAATCAATCAATCCTGAATCATAGGATTAAAGGTGTATACCACCACCTCCTAGCTTTCTGGCTGCTGGGATTAAAGGTGTGTGCCTGGCTTCTATGCTTTATGGCTGACTTTGCTTTCTGAATCCTCAGGCAAGCTTTAATAAACCACAAATGATATATCACCACAGATGTGCACTTTTTAAAGATTTTTATTTTAATGAGTGTTTTGCCTGCCTGTATGTATATGCAGTGTTTGCAAAGACCAAAAGAGGATGTCAGATCCTACAGGCTGCCATGTGGGCACTGGGAACCCAACCCAGGTCCTCTGCAAGAGCAGCAAGCACTTTCAACCACTGAGCTACCTCTGCAGTCCCATGTTTCATAACTTTGAGATGCAGTGTGCATTCATTATGGACAGGTTTATTTTTGGATCAAGAGCTCATCTTCATGGGGAAGTCACGGCCGCAGGAGCTTGGGGCAGCTGACCACACTTTGTCTGCATCAGGAAGTGGGGGGAGATGAACGTATGTTGGTGCTTAGCTGGCTTTCCCTTCTTATACAGTCTGGGACCCAGGACCATGGAATGGTGCTACCCACAATTAGGGTGGGTCTTCCCATCTCAGTTCCTCTAATCTAGGTAATTTGTCACAGATACTCTAGATGGTAAAGCTGACAATCAAGATTAACCACCAAGCAGGGGGCAGGTAAAAAGCCTAAGAAAAGAACCTTTCACTGGAAGAAGGGTTTCAGATATTCAGAAGGTAAGTTTCTAATATATAGGCCAGACCAGCAGGTTAGTTGTTGGAGTGCCTACTCACTGTGCTCAGGACAGTGAGCTCATTCTCAGAAACACAAACATTTAAGAGCCTTCTCCCTTCAAAGGGAAAGGACTTCAAATAAACTATGGATCAAACTGAGGAAGTAATGGATGAGTGCCCCATTTGCTAAGCCCAATAGACTTGAGGTTGCACTATGACCAGGAAGCAAATAAAGACCTCCAGTTAGCTCCTAAGATACTGCACAAACATGGTACAGAGGTTCACCCTGACTTTTTACTGTCATCTTCTAAATATTCACAGCATAATTCTTTTAGTGGCATTAATACTGAAGTCAGGAAGGATTTAATTTCATTTATGTGTATGTGCCTGTATGAATTCATGTGCACCACGTGTGTTCAGGTGCCCACGAAGGTTAGAAACAGTGTCAAATCCATCGGAACTGGAGTTGGAGTCAGTTGTGTTGCTTGGACTAGGTGCTGGGAAACAAAACTAGATCCTCTGTTAAGAGCAGCTAGTGCTCTTAACTCCTGAGCCACCTTTCCAACCTTGCAGACTTCCTCTGAAACCTTAATACTGCTTCAATGTCATTGTGGACAGGGCAGGGGGTGAAAGAATGGGAACAAGATGCACTTACTTAAGTGGAGGAAAGAAAACCAACAACCAAACAAAACACATCTGAGCCTAGAATACGATGGGAATGGTGCACACCAAAGGCTGTACTGATGGGAGCTGTGCACACCTGAGCCTTGTTCTGAGATGGGAGCTGTGCACACTTAAGCCTTACACCACTCCCATCTCAGTGCAAGGCTCAGGGTGATGACTAGGCCAACTGGATAGTAGCGGTGCAGCGGTCCATCGAGGCTGAAAAGAGCAAGGACAAAGGTCTGAGGGCAATCACTGAGAACTGGAACATCCTCAACTTTCTGGAAGAGACACATTTGGGCAGTTGAGTGGTTTAATGAAGGTTGTTATGGTACAACTCGATGGCCTTGCAGAAACCTCTACATTTCCTTGATCTGCTACACAGAGCATTCTTGTCTAAAGAGTGCCTTACAGCCTTGTGATCTGAGTGAGTCCAATGATTTCCTCAGCATCTAATTAAGTAACTAGTCTTACACCCCATTTTCTCCTTACAAGAACACCATATCATTTGTAAGCATGTTGCTTTTATACTTTCATAAGATCTACTAACTAGCAGGGAGCTTATGAATTCATTGTTCTTTTAAATTTTAAGGCAGAGTAAAACATTGACTTCCCACAAAAGGCCTTCTTGGTATAAAATGACATTGCCTGAAAAAGCTACATCTGTGTCATAGATTCTATGAATTTACTAGAACTTTGTCATTATGGAGACTTGTAATTTTGCAGACTGGGAATCAGAATCACCTTGGGTTAACCTGAATTCCTTTGGCCTCCTCCAAATCATTTATCATGCCTCCTCCAAATCAAGTAAAATCTTTGGAATGTACTTAGCAAATTATTCTACCCTGAAGCTAAAAAATATCATCAGATAGCATCTGAGATCTTTAGCAATGGCTTCCTCCTACTATAAATCATCTGCCCAAGGCCCCCACCAGGGTATATGGAGATTGCATTTATGACTTAACTTTTGTATTTTGACCATAAAAGCTTATACAATAACTTCCACAGCAGAATGTGTCATTCAGGGTAACCTGAATCCATGTTCCTAGGCTATGTTCACTCAGATCTGGCTAAGAATAAATCTCTCATTTTCCTTTTGGCACAGAGCTGTGTGTTTTGCATTGATGAGGCCTTTCTTAGAAAAACGGAAGGGGAGGAGAGTTGTGTGTGTGTTATGTAAAATATACTGTTAAAATTCCTTTTTATGAATTCTTCCTCTATAGAATAAGTTGCAAAATATTTTTAGAGCAAGAAAAAAAGAAACTATGGAGGGAACAAAGATCTAAGATACAGCAAACCAGAAAAACAAACAAACAAACTCAAGTTGTTATCTCAAATCTGACAATGAGTTAACCAGTAATAGAGAATTAGACCAATCTACAATTGGTCCTGTCCTTCCTTCCTATTCATACATAGCCTCTGAACTGTTAAAAGTACAACTGGCAACTTTGAGGGAAGAGAGATGGTAATATTGCCATGATTACCCCACTATACACTCAACTCTGGTTCCAAGGACAGGTTTGTGGGAGAGCTGACAGAAACAGCCCACCACTCTTTGAGGGGTGATGAACAACTCACTGGAGACCACTGTTTTTCTTCAGCCTCACAGGGAAGTATCTGCCACTGTTTTGGTGAAAAAGAATCCCTCTAGGGAAAAGTCACCAGTGAGAATTCTACACTAGAGTGCATCTCACTTTTACAGTGAGGGTCAGCCAAAGTGGACAGGCCCCAAGGACTCCCCAGAGCTCCATTGCAATTCCATATTCCTACTTTATGGGAAACTCCATGCTTCAGTAAGAGGGCTGAACGGGTGTCCAGGAACGAAGGGTAATAGAAAAATGACTCCCTTGTGATCGAATTCTAAACACTTATTTCACATGACTGTTCTGATCCTATGAAGTGCATCTGAACCTGTCATAGACAGGCAAACTGCACCAGGACTCTTAGGGTCAAAAACAAGAGTTCAGATCAGGGTGTGCTCTCACAGGATCTTAGGAACACTTCTCAACTTCCAGAGTCTAAACCTCCTCCATAGGAAAGAGGATCCACGCATCGTAGTTAAGTAAGGATCAGAAGTGACCAGGTATAGGGTAAATCATGGAACAATAAAAAGTTCTAACTATTACTGTTACATTTAATATTACAAATTGAACCATCGTTTACTTCAAGGATCTAAAAACTCAGATCTCAGAGCAGTTAATTTTAACTAAATTCACTCCAACTATCATATATTCACAGATTTTTAATTACTTATATGTATGTGTCTGTATGAATGTTATGGGGTGTGTGTGTGTGTGTGTGTGTGTGTGTGTGTGTGTGCTCCATTATCAGAGAATGCATCAGACCCCCAGGAATTGGAATTATACACATCATTGTGAGCAGCCTGGTGTGGGTGCTGGGAACCAATGAGGTCACCTGGAAGAGTAAGCAAGCACTTTAACCACTGAGCCATCTCTCCCGATATCTGTTTCCTGAAGGAGAATTATTGTATATGCCAGTATATTGATGGCACACCAGGAACCCAATTCAACTTTCCTGACATAAAACTGTTCTGACACTTGGTATTGACTTGATGTGGACAACATAACTTTCTGAAAGCCTGTAAATAAGCATGATTCTGTGCCATAAACAATCAGGTATAGTTCACTCTTCAAATGACTATAACTGTAACACAATAACCTAAAAGCATTATTTTGGTGCTAAGATGCTATTACAATTGATACTGCCCTAACAGTTCCCCCTTGTTTTTGTTGTAATACAAAGGGAAATGGCTAGTGTGCACACACACACATGCAAAAGGCACGAACACACAGTTCCAAGTTTGTTAAACATTTGCCACACATCTTTAAGGTGGCTAATTCCAACAGCTGCAGCATGGGTGCAAACCAGTAATTATGTAAATTAACAACTAACAATTATCTAGAATCAAGGGTGATGTCATGAAGTCGAACTGTAGGTGAACTTTCAGTTAGAGAATATGGCTCTGAAGAATGAAACCACATTTCAGATGAAAGCACCCAGTCCCCCTGCTTTCTTCTCCAGTGACTACCATCTTACATAGAATATGCTCTGAAGAAGTAAGAAAAAGCCCTTTTAAATTTCATGATTGGTTTAATCAGGTAATTCCAGGGGAGGGAAAAATCACTGAAACAAATCATCTACCATCTGATAAGTCCAATTACATGGTATGATGGAACAAAAGCAGTTACAAACTCATATGTGCATATTTACATTATATACTCACAACTCTCAAGCTAGTTGAGTCTATGTGGGGAGATGCATTAGGACAGCAGTTAAACAGGCTTCCACTGCTCGTTAGAAAGGATGCAGTCAGGCTCCTAGTGGGGGTAATATACACGTGAGGCACTTCTGAGTTCAAGGAAATAGAAAGCAAAACATTCTACACACTGGAACTGTTCACACAAAAAACTTGTGTATCTTTAATACAAAGGCTTTCGACTAGATTATTCTTGAAAGTTTTCAAAAACTAACAACGTTTGCAATTTGAGCTTTGGGGACAATGAATAACATCGTACCAAAGCAATTAAAAGGTTTTTAACTGTCAGGCTGCTAGGCAACTAATACCTTAAAGCCCCTTGCAATTCTCCTTCCCTCTCTGTCCACTTTTTGGTCTGTATAAATCACCTCTGCTTGTCAGTGTATACATGTTTCTAATATTTTTAGTAACTGCCATAAAACACACATGGCCCTCTCATCATTTATAACAACTTCTAGTGTTTCCCCCAATATTCAGAAATGTGATTCTGGAAGCCAAACCAAGAGTAAGAACAACATTTAGTGATGAATTTTGCTTTATCGGTTAACTAAAGTTCTCCAAGTTATTTTTCAGAAAAAAAGTTACACTTGCTCAATGCACTTTTGGACTACAATTAAAATTACTTTAAAACACATTAATCCAAAGTTACACATTCCAAATATAATCAAACATTCAATTTCAACAGAAGAAAGATCCATAAAATTCTCTACATTGCCCATTCAGAGGAAAGCACATGTTTTCTGCACTCTGAAGACTGACATGAGTGTTAAGAAATACCTGTGTGCCACTTAATTAAGGGGAGAGGGAGAGGAGAAGCAAGACTCACCCCCGGAATTAGATGGCACTATACACATGAATTCAAAGTGCATTTGTATTATTTCAGAAGCTCATTTTAGGCACTGCTGAATAACCAATGGAAATAGGTAGTTTCAAGTTTTTCCCTTTAAATTTTAAGCCCTGTCTCATCATCATCATCTACTCAGAAACACACACACTCTCTGGAGTTGTCATGATAAAATACAGGCAATTATGTTTATTTTTTAAAAATTCTCCCTGACTGGCACTGGGAATAAAACAGGAATACCATTTTGGTAATGGCTTCTGAGTTACAGGAACTGGTTGTATAAATGCTTCAGTACGTACGTAAGCTTGACTGCCAGTTCCAAGTCTCAATAAATATTCTAAAACAGGATATGTAAGAAAAAAGTGCTTAAAATCTTTCAACAACCAAAAAATGCATTAGAGGAAAGATTTATTTACATTCCTTTGAGCTGTTCCTTACCCCTGGTTTCTCTGGTGGGCCCTTTACTGGGCAGTCGCCATCTCCATCTCTCGGTGCTGGTCTAAAATCATCCAGCAGGTGGCACTGGAACTCCACAAGTATTCCTGCTTGACAAATCAAAGGCTTCCTTAATAGCCACAAGAATCACTTGAGAACTATGGATTCTGAGCAAACAAGCCCACCAGACAGAATTCTTTCTGGCCATGCCATTCAGATGATTTTCAACACTCACTTTTACTGTAACAGTTTTGTTGAGCCATCTGCTTAACTTTAGACAACAAGAGGAGTTTTAAAGGAAACGCCCAATGGCAGTGCCAATCTGTACACTGAATGAGAAATCATTTCCAAATTCACCTGCACGTGCTTGGGATTTGAATTTAAACTGATTCACACAGGGATCCAATACTATTACATCATCAGCTACTTCTCTGGACTGATATGATAATTACAAAAATCCAAAGTGGAGGAAAAAAAAAACCCAATTTCATTACCATAGTTTTTAATGAAGAGAAATGTTTAAAATTGTAAAAGGAAAAAAATGGGAACAGGATGGCAAAATCTTAGCAGCAAAGTGGTTAAACAAACTTGAAAATATTAATGCACAAACATTAAAATATTAAAGCATGTATGTTGCATATAAAATACAGTACAGAACCAGGAGATGCACTGTTATGACTAGTGCTTAACAGAAAAATGATTTTGTTCTTCCCAGAAATATATACACAGTTCATTTCCACGGCATTTCCTATATAGCCAGCAAGTTATTTTCTTCAGTTATTCACACCTTTCTCCAACCTGAATTATCAACTCCACACTGACAAATATGAATATTCATTCATAAGGAAAACCAGTATTTCTATTTCAGCAATAAAAAGGAATTTTGAAAGTTAACAGTCTGCTCTAGGAAACCAAGTTTATCTGAAAACGTCAGGGGTGAAGGTCATCTGTGTAGCAGCCTCCAAATATAGAAACAGTAAAAATAAGACTTAAAATTGCTGCTACAGTGTCCGGTTTTGGATTTAGTTCATCCAATTGATTTTTAGTACAAAACTAGAAATAACCTCTTCTTCATAACATCTATAGTTATCAATATATTTTTCTTCTTTTCAATGTGAAATAATACTTCAAGATGATCTATATACATAATGTTGTCAGTTCAAGCTGTCATATAAATATAAATGCTTTCTTAAAAAAAAGTATTTTACAGACAGATAGTGTTATATATACATTGTTCAGTTTGATATGGGGCAAAAGAAGGAAGCTAACACAAGCTTAAGTGTGACACATAAAATGAACGGTACAGAAATGACACTGAAACCCACAGAATGAACTTCAAATGGTAGTGTGATTTTCTATCACTTCAGAAACTCTAAAGAAAAGAAAAGGGAAAAGGGGGGGGGGGGAAGGCACACTGCTCAACTGTCCTCCCTAAGGGAATATTTTCAAAGGATCCCTCACATGGTTAGAATTTTAATGTAACATTAAAAAAAAAAGAAGAAGAAAAAAGAAAGACAATTTGACCCCAAAGCACTTTTAAATGGTTTGTTGGAATATATCATACCACTCTGTAAATCAAACATCCCGTAATACAACTGCTCTGCAACAGGATGAAATGTACAAGATCTTCTATTCACAATGGCAGGTTAAATACTTTCCTGGGAGAGTTCTGCATACATTTTATGCAAAGTAACTTTGCTCCTGGCTAGCTGAAATAAAATAAAATGCAACTGAAAAGTGTTATCATTGTTATGTGAGTAATAATAAGCACAGAGGATTAAGCTCTAAAAAGAAAAATCAGTGAAACAGCTGTGTACATTCTGGCTTAGCAGAATGATAAATGGAGACCTCAAGAGGAAACTGCTCACACTAACTATCCAGTTAATGCTCCTGCCTTGTAAAACCTTTAATAAATGCAGTTACGTCTTTTTGAAGGAGGAAACTCTGAAAGAAAACAACTTGCTGGTTGAATACCACAAAAACAAAACAGCTAAAACCCTCACTTTCTTCTATGTTTACTCAGTATCTTTATATAAAAATAAGTGTTATGTTTTCATCAGAACATTAGACAATTACAGCTGTGCTTAAAAAAAAGTTGGTCACTTGAGGCTATTAGAGTATTTTAAAGAGTTTAGGTTTCCAGAATGTACAGATAATAACTCAATATAAACTGCCGCCAAAGAGAAATGAGGATGAACATATCAAATCTTTCACATGGATACAAACATTATTAACTAGAGTTAAATACTCAAAATATATGGAATGTGGTGGTAGATATATGCACATCTACCTCAGAACTAGGAAGGGCAAGAAAGTTTAATGTCATAGTTCGTACCTTACATTTAGTTAAATATAAACATTTGTTATTTATACATAAAACTGCTTTCAAAAAACAACTAATAAATGATTTAGTTGTACTTGTTTTATCTCTTAATTTCCAAGTGTTAACTTTTCTGAACTGAAATAAACTGTCCCTTAGTGCACTTTTTAGTTAATGTCCTAAAAATTCAAATCTTTAAACAGTCCCATCACCTAGTGCATAAATATGAAAATGCCAAAATTAATCCCTTTTAGTTGGATCATATTCTATGTTGACCTTTTGTAGTCAATAACCAGAAATGACTTTCTTCTGTAAATGCTCTATGATCTGTCCCAGAACATGCCATGCACCCAGGGAAACACCAGGCATGGCTAGCATCTGTAAATCACAGCAACTGTCGAGTTCTGTTTCCTCCACGCATGGCCCCAATGATACCAGGCAAGATTCCATACTGCTTGCCAACAGCTTCCACAAATCCAAGTTAGCTAATTCCTGGAGATGAAGATTTTTAAGCTCATGTTGGCCCTGGACTGCTTCACCCAGCAGCCTTATGTTTCCCACCACAGCACCCACACGCCTCGCCACAGCGATGGCACATTCTCAAAGGTACGTAGCAGCACATACATGGTACAATGAAAGACAGAGCTACCAGGGCTAACCATCTTAGGCAGAACTTGTCATCACTAGTGTCACATGAACAAGGGTCAGAAAAGTCTCCCTCTGAGTCTGACATACAATGATACAGCATGCTCTCTGCACAGAGCATGCAACTAACTTGATATATGCATCTTTTAACAGGATCTGGAGCATCCTGGCATTTCCCCCTTCCGTTTTCTTCATGATTAAACCTTTCCTGGCAGTACACGCAGCGAGAACGTTCCCCATCCTCTTTTCTTCGTTTTGACTTAAATTTTAACGAGGGAGGCTGTGTCTTAAATACCACAGAGTCTTTCAGGGAACTTAACTTAGTTTCATCTCCACAGTGGTAGAGATAGTCTGATTTTTTACTGTCTTGTTTAGAAAATGGAATATTGGAGTCAGTGTCATCTCTCTCCAAGTCATTTTTCCACATGTCCGGATGTCTGTAGTCCGCATACCGACGTATTAAGATGTCTCGAGGGTTTATTCTGACAATCTCATCCTCATCTTGAAAGCTGACATGTCTGATTGACTTCAAAGGGACCTAGACGAGATGAAAATTGCAGAGAAGACTATGACAGTTAATTTTATGTTGATTTGGTGGAGCAACCCTATCTAAGGATTCATTCAAAGAGCTCTGTGACAAAGTTTTGGATGAGATCAACACTTCAGCTGGTAGACCATATCCAATCAAATAATACCTAAAACTAAAACTATCTCCCTACATGGCAAGCCGAAGTTCTGCCAGCAGGAAGTTTTTGTACTCAGGCTCCAGTTTTCCCCCATCTCCAACCCAATGGTTTATCTGTAGATTTGGGTTTTTATTTCTCTCTAGTACTAGAGATTGAAGCTAGGATCTAGCACTCTACCATTGAGTTACACTCAATGGTTTCTTGAGACAGGGTCTCACGAAGCTTTCTAGGCTGGTCTTGTACTCTCACATTCCTCTTTCCTCAGCCTCTTGAGTAGCTAGGCTTATAGGTCTGTGCCATGAGATCTGGATTTGGATTACAGATTTGGATCCCATTACTATATGAGCCAATTCCTTAAAACAGAAGATCCATCTAATGGTTTTGTTTTATAGATTTTAATGCCAATAAAGTGGCTGCCACTGTAGTATCTTTAAAAATCTAGTAATAGATAATGACTTCTGACTAGAAATGTTTTATGAAACATGTTAAGAGCCTCAGAGAAACTACTGGTAGAAATATGGTCTATAAGATCCTCTTGGTGAGGACAAGAACGTACTAGTGGACACTGGAAGAAAGAAAATGTAAGTGACAAGATCAATCATGTTTGGTATACTTGAAAGGTAGAATTTGTATGTACCAATATTCAGCAGAAATGCTAAAGGTGTGGCACAGTTTTCTTGCTGCTTATAATATCGTGTGTGTGGCTGGTGTGTGGGTGTGTACACACACAATGATAAAGGACTTGCTAAGCAAAGTAAAACTACAGAATCTGGATAATTCCCAGTGTAATTTTATTGTAAACAATGGGGAAATAAAGGGGACACAAGGCACATGGCTAGATGAAGCAAAATGCTGCCAACATGTTCTAAAGTAGGTAGGTCTTGATGAAGACAGAAGGTTCGGTCTCTGGGTCTCTACAAAACAAGCCAAGAGCACTGTGTATACAGTATACAGGCATACTCCATCTTTCCAGTGAAAATGCCTGACTCTGAAGGTGGAGCTGAGATGTGTTCCTACAGTTTAAGAGGGAAGGCTAATCTTTTATTGTAGCAGACCACGTTATGGTATTCTAGGACCCTCGATGGCAATAGGGGTGAAGAGGAAGCAGGGAGGATCACCAACTCAATAGGGCAAGATACAAACACAAAACCAAAGATGATTAATTCCAAATCCTAAAGTGGAATGAAATGTTTATTAGGGTTTGGACTTCCTTAGGATGAACTATGATATCTTCATTTCAGCTTCTTAATTCTGTAATGGACTGATTGTCCATTTTTACAGGTTCACAGCAGAAAAATAATTCTGCCTCAAAATGACCTTCCCCAGGGTTCATTCACACTCTGTTGAGATGATAGTTCAAGACTTGGGAGTTAGTGTAGACGCTGGAGTGGGACAGGCCTTTGGAACTCTTGGATGCAGGTGCACATTATTCTGTGTGAGAAGGGCATGTGAAGGCCCAGTGCAGCATGAAGGATGATGCAGTGTACTAAATTTACAACATGCAGTTCCTGTTTTGTCCTATGTGACGATACAGATTCAGAAACCATGCAAACTGAATAGAGCTTATGTACAGAGATGCAGCAGATATGTAGTGAGTAAGTCTCATGTATGTTTCACTCAAATGGAAATTAGACTTGGACCAGCTGAACTGCTGTGTTTCAGAACAAGAGATAAATGAACATTACTTACCCTACTTTGGGACTTTAGGCTCCCACATTCCTTAGATATTTGCCGCTGTACATATTCCATACTTCGGCTCTGAATGTCTAGGCCTTGCTGACTGAATGGTATCTAAAATTCCAATAATTTCTATTTTAAGTGACAGCAGTATGAATTTCTTTCTTTTAACAAAACTAAATACAACATACATTTCAAGCCTTTACATTTGACAGGCTGCAAAATCATGTCTAACCAGCCTCTACACCACCGCACACACCCAAACCCTGTTTTAATAAACAGCAGAATCAGGCTGGCGAGACACTCAGCAGTTAAGAATACTTGGTACTCTTACAGGGAACCTGGATTATGTCCCCAGAATCCACCTGATGGTTCACCACCATTTGTAACTCAGCTCCAGTAAATCCAAGCTGTTTTCTGACCTCCACAGGAACCAAACTTGTATGTTTGCTGTGTTGTGCATCCCATATGCAGGCAAAACATTCATATGCATAAAATAAAATAATCTTAAGGAAAGGAAAGACAGACAGAATCACTTCCTCATTTTATTCTTGGAAAGAATTTTTGTTATAAAAATGCATATAAAATCCAATTTAGCAAGTAACACCTTATACCAAACAAATGAGCACCCCCACCCCCACAATTCTACCACCAAAAATAACAAAAAAAAACCCCAAACAACATAGAAGATAGGTATGGTGACCCATATCTGAACCTCAGTACTTTGGAGGCTGAGAAAAGAAAACCACCAGAACTTAAGGATAACCTGAACTATAAAATTAGAGTCCTAGTCTAGTCTGGCCTACAAAGTAAAACCCTGTCAAAACAAGAAAAATGGGAGGGGGGCAAGGCACAACCCAAGCACCTACTAACTGTAAAAACACAACATGGCAGGCCAGGAGATGAGCTTCTATGTGGGGAGTATTACTGAGCAATAAGGATCAATAATGTCAATGTGTCACAGCAGGGGCTGCTAAGAGTGAAAGGGGGCAGAGGAATGGGACAATAATCACGATGGGTTTTCTGAAGTGATGGAAAGTGAAGTGACTTCACAATCTTGTAAATATATTAAAACACCAAAGAGAGATTTTATGGTATATGAATTATGTTTTTAAAAAGTCATGAGGGCAATCAATGTCCTGATAAGATTTCTTAGTTTGGTTTGTAAAGAACAATTAAGAACTGAAAAGATTATCATTAAAACTTTATCGATTTGCTTTTTAGAATTATATAGTAAAATTAAATATACACAAAGAGTAAAGAATGTAATGAATTCCCATGTTGATCAACATTATCAACATTTCAGTCATTCTGTATTCATTTTATTGTTTTATTGAAACATTCTGATCCAAATCCTGGTGCACTTAATAAAAGTGTAAATTGAAAATAGCAACACACATGTGTTTATTTGAAGTATGAGGTTTATAGGTAGAACATACAAGAGTTAGCAGGGAAAGAGACCACTGTAGATTAAAAGTTCTGGTAAGACTCCATGAAGGAAACACAGAATAAACTATTTGTTAAACTAAAACAACAACAAATAGAGGAGCATTATAGAGAAGGAAGAGTTAAACTTCTTGGTTTAATATATGACATCAAGTTAAATAAATGACCTCAAGTAAGTCGTAATGGCCAGGGGGTATAGCTCTTGGGTAAAGCATTTGCCTAGCATGTATAAAGCCTAAGTTTTAATCCACAGTGCTAGAAGAAAACAAAACCCCCAAACTTCCTGTAATATTATTTTATTCTATGAATAAACTATAAAAGTAAAAATATCCATTTTCATTTATTATTCCTATTCTACGATCTCAAATGTCACATATACACATCCCATATAAACACATACATATTCTGCTACTGTCTAAGTTAACAGATCAGTAAAATAAATATTGTTTTCTCATGTGATCTGTAAGTACAAAGACAAATGGGACACTCTTGCTTTTATACTCATTTAACAAAGGTGTTAAAATATATACCTCAATTAAGTACTGCTTTTGAAAACACCACGAATACATGCTATTTCTATTATCTTTAGGATAATTTATCAGCTCAAAAGCAAGAAGATACTTTTTCAAAAGGATTCCATTCATAATGGCAACAAAATGGTTAAGAGTAAATCTGACAGTCTCTTTTCTTGAAGAAAATATAAAGAGAAATAGAGGAAGTACTATATAGGATATATCACATTCATGAATGAGACCAAAGTATCCCTAAGCTAATGGATTGATTCAAAACAATTCAAATACAAAACACAAAAAGGTTTTTGTTTTTTAAATCAAACAAACTCAACAAGCTGCTAAGTTAGGACACTTTTCTACATTAACATTTCTTAGAAAGGTAGAACTCTAAAATAAAGACAACGTGGTACAGGTACAGGCATAGACAAAGTGGCAATAGATCTCATCAGAAACACTAAAAACAGACCCAGATGTAGAGGTAAGCTTGGTGTGCGACACTCAGGACACGATGAACCAGCAGAAAAGGCTCTAATAGAGGGACATTTGGTATGTGACACACATAGCACTGTGCACCCCAAGGGAGGCTCTCAAATACATCATTCTGTGTAGAAAATAAAAACACCTGGAGCTCCACTACAGAAGAAAACATGGTGAGCTGTGCTAAGGAAAAAGCCACAAAATTTTCACAACAGAGCAAGAAATGCTGAGGTAAGCACAGAGAGGAATTTGCTAAGTAACACCAGCAAATACAACCCAGATACATTAAAAGTTAAATTAGTTTATTAAAACAACACACACATACACACACACACAAATGAACGATAGGAGCCACAGATAAACCTCAAAAAGGATTCACATTCAGAACACACAGCAAAATAATATAAGTTTATCACTCAATATGAGGTTTGATATGAAACCATGTACTTAAATAATTTATCAACAATAAAGCTATTTCCAATTACTGGAATTTGTATTGACCAATATACATTCCCTGTGCACAAGGCATACATTACATATGTAGTCTTACATCTTCTTAAACTGAATAATGACCTCATGAGGTCACATATCCGAATGTGGGACTTGAAATAATAAATAAAGAAGGTAACAGCTGGAGGTTTCTGAGAATACAACCAGACAGAAAAAAATAATTCAAAATCAAACATCATCAATCTGGGGTGATTCTGACAGCACTTGCCCACATTACCACTTCACTGCAGCCCCAAGTCTAGATAAACACAAGCCAGTTTTGCATGGTACATGCCTTCACTTCATGCCAAAGACACTGCCTGAAACACTCTGGCTTAGACCCAAGACTACTGTGTGTTATGAATGGCAGTCTTTTCACTGTACATAAAAGGCTTTCTGCATTTACAGAATAATAGTTTAATTATAAAATGGGCTTTATTATTTTCCTGCTGTAATCCCTCAGCACATATCAGCAGTCTATCTTTAGACTGTACTGTTAAGAATATTGTTTCAAAAGTTGCTGACATGAGTTTCATCAGAAAAAAAAAAAAAAAAAAAAGGTCAAATTTTGGTGAAGGATTAGGAGATTTACTGGCAAATTTCTGAAATGGCTCTAAACATACACCTGCCATTTTGTATCTTGGCATGTCAATTAGTGCTCAGTTTTCAGGTCTTGCTTAGGTAACATATTGAGATGTCACAGGTGCAGCTTCCCTCTCATATATAGAAAACACTGTCTCACAGTAGATGTCCTAGTTTTCTGGCTCTTTAATCTTTCTTCCATGTTTCCTAAGCCTTAATTATGTAAGTTGTGTTTGTATTTTGCATTGCAGATGTATCAATTAGAACTAAGCACCCTATGGCCAGCTGTTCTCTGCATTCTGACCAGTTGTGATTTTCTGTGATGGTCTCTCCTGCAGTAAGCAGCTTCTTTGATAAGGCCTGAGAGCTATACTTACCTGTGGGTATAAGACTAAATATTTAGAATACAGTTAGAAATTAAACTTGTTTAGGAAAGTGGCAGGGGTGATGACCTTACCAGCCACAGATAGTTGGCAAGGTTTGTAGTACTGGGCATACATCCTCTCCTATTCAGTGGACCCAATGTTCAACTAGATGACTGCTGTTTACCCACTGAATGTAAGTACCACTATTGCATCTTTCAGAATATTCTTGTCATTATGGGCGTGTTACAACTGGGTAGGTCTACTTATTACTTTTCTCCCTTGGCAGCTTGCATAGCTCCTTCAAATACATGAGAGCTAGTCCTTATAGATCTAATCTCCAGGATGCAAGCCCACATTGTACATCTTGAGCAAACACCAATCTGGCTTTAGGAAACAAGGGAACCAACATGAAAATGAAGGTCATGTTACCACATCATACTGAGAAAATAAGGCTCTTTGTGTCTAATCAAACAGTCTTGGGTCTTTTGGGGGAATTAGCTAAATTTGGTAGCTTACAAGTAAGGTAACATTCTAGACTTTATAGTTCAACAAGGCAGTTGTCCAATCCTTTTAAAAAGGTAGCTTCTCTGTTGTAGAAAAGGATCTATTAAGCTAACTCTGAAGCAGGAAACTAAATATCCAAAGCATATTAACTCCTCCACAGAACACTTAAATACTCTCACCAAGATGTTTTTAGTGGTAGCCCAAATCATGAACTATTTCATGCCTAAGATAACACAGCTTCTGTAATCCTCTTGGTGGTTCACATTTTGCATTCTCATTTTTATGTATAATTTCCTTCAACTCAATATATAAATCTTGGAAAAGGGACTTTAATTTTTGTTATTTTGAAAAACAAAATGAGTTTTCTGCAACTAAGGGTCAGATTCTGTACTGGAGGAAGATTCTCTGTGATGCCTTTTAGATTATATCAGAATACAAATGGTTCGGAATCCTAACCCCATTGTGATGAACACAAGAGTGTTTTACTCTTGCTAATTATGAAAACAACATTATCAAACTCATAATTTTGTATATTAACCCCTCAACAAATAAATGTATAGCTTTAAAGGAGACAAACCCATCACATTTAATTCCTACTGAGACAGTCAGTTACCTATGTAGCTCTGTCTATAATCTTGTCGATCAGGACACATTTCAATTATAAGAGACTAGGAATAATACTTTAACAAAATACTTTCCCTACATGCTTTATGTCACATTTTGTCAATGAAGTTTTGTAACTTCTGGGGGTAGATTCTGACATTACCCAATTTATAGACAAGAACACTGAACTATGAAGATATTGTTAAGGCATTTATCTAACAAGGACTTGGTTCCAAGATAATACAAAGAATATCCCTACATATCAGTAAGAAAAGGCCAGACAACTCAATATGAAATATGTAAGGTTTTTTTAAGAGAATTCCTCAGTGGTCAATAAACAAAGGAAAACAGTCAACACAGTAGAAATCAGGGAAATAAAACTTAAAATTACAATAAAATACTATTTATTTCTGCCTACTGATTAGTTCAGTATAAAAGAGGTGGAGAAATACCAAGTATCCCAGGAAATGCCAACTACCTATGGGAATGCAAATGGAAGATTACTTTGAACTGTTGGGTGTAGGGGAAGCTGTAGCCACGCCTTCTTAGGGGCTGGCTACAGGAGTACCTGAGGGCTTGTGAGGGCGTGGTCAGAGTGAGTAGGGGGACTGCGTTTTCGGTTTCTCTTTGCTTCTTGCTGTATAGACTACCACCGGCTGGCTGGTTCGCTCTGTAAGTAAGGCTTTTCCCTATTAAATACCCTTACATTTCTACCTGACTCCGTATTGGTAATTTCATACTATAGTTGGATTTTGAGTAAAACTGGCAATCTGCTTTGTCTGTGCTTTCTTGTATAACCCCACTACACAACTATGCACTCAGATTTGTGAAAAACTCACTAGATAAAATTCAAGGTATTTCAATAATCCAGTGCTGGTTCTCTGCTTCTATTCTTTTTTTTTTTTTAGTATGTGTGGTGTTCTACCAGATCTCTCTCTCTCTCTCTCTCTCTCTCTCTCTCTCTCTCTCTCACACACACACACACACACACACACCTTTGCTTTGCGTAGCTCTTCTTGATATCAATGTGGAAGTTCTAGCCTCTCTCTATGTAAAGGATATTTGGAGATAGGCCTTTGACTGATAGGTCATAAGAACAGAGCTCCTGATTTGACAGAATTACTGTCTTGTCAGAGTCTCCTGACGTCTTTATTTCTATCATTCTATCATGGGGACGTAGCAAGAAGGCAGAAGTTGGCCAACTTAAAAAAAAAAAAAAAAAGGCCCTTACCACAGCCAGTCTAACTGCTAGAGCTGTAGGATAACACAAACAAACAAAAATCCTGCTGTTTGAGCTACCCAGTTCATGTTGTATTACAACACCCTGAACTAAGACATTCCCTCCCTGTCTACAAAACTCATCCTCCACATCCCTGTGCCCTTTTACAGAGCTTTGTGTTTTTCTGTAGCATACCAGGTTCTCTAAATATGCTATACATATGAATAGTATGCATTTTCTTACCTGGTTCCCTGGGCTTTGCAAGTAGACTCTTCTGGCATTCAGATCTTCAAAGGGTAAAGGTCTTATGTCTGAGCTTCTATAAGGCTCACTGGTAACAACTGTCTCTTGCTGGAAAAGGTGATCTTTCACTAGGGAACGGGAAGTGTCCTCTTCAGTGGTCTGATGGGAACAGCATCAAGAAAGATACTTCAGCACAGTTAGTAAATCTATGCCATTACCATTGCTACGAAAGGTAAATCCCTAGATTCAAAGTACATGATTAGGATGCCATATCAAAATAAGAAGAAATTTAGAACACTTAAAATATAGACCTTCTTATTAAAAATAACTCAAGAGAAATGAAAGGCTACTAGTCCATATAGATACAATGATAAAGCCTTTAATTACACTGAGAGTAATACAAATGCATAGACGATAGAAGAAATTAGGAGAAAAACAAATAAATGTAACAATTTGTAAATTAAAAATAAAAAGCACACAGTAAAAACTATACTGGTGATACAGTGAACAGAAACATGAACGACAGTGGTTCATGACCACACTGAACTTGCTAATGACTTACAGACACTAAAACCATCAACTACCATAGACTTAGGTAGGAAATACACTTGACTAGTGATGGTCATTTAAGACATCATTTCAAAACATCAAAAACAACGTCTATAAAATAAATGCTACATAAGTGAAATGTAGCACACTATAAAACAAATTCCTGGGTTTTTTTTTTTCATTTTTCAGTGTAGATTATACTATTTGCTACTGTCTCCATTAATATATAATTATTTGAGAAGAGACTTTAACAGTCAGTAGAAATGGCTGAGTACTTTCTCTGACTCAAATTATTCTAAAATAATTTTGAATAATCATTATAATGCTAGCAAATTTAAAGGTTCAAGATGTATATTTTGTTTCTTATGTAAGTTTTGAAGAGTTTGCTAATGCTACTTCTAAAATAAACAAGTAAATTACATAAGCTGACTAGGACTTTTACAAATCATTTTTTGGGGGGCTCTGGAACCATAGTTTCCAATCATTAATTTCTCCAGAATTCACTTTCCTAAATTACAAAATAGCTGTAACATCTAGTGAAACCATTTAAGTGAAAAGCAGTCATTATACCAGGAATCAAGCAGTTAAAGTTTAAAATATACCTGAGTACCCACCTCCAAGAAAAGCCAAAGATGTCAAACCAGTGAACTCACATTGAGAACTAACAGCTGTCCCAAACTATTATGACAATTAATGCTAAATTATGAAAGCAAATTATGGCTAAACACTGTTACTCAGCAAACATTTTCTTTTAAAAGACATTTGAAAATTGAGAAGAGCAGAATAGATTAAAAAAAAAAAAAAAGCTTGTTTATCTGTTGGAGATCTTCAAAAACAAACCACTTAGGCACCCATAAACTGAATACAAGACAATGCAAAAAAACCGACCTCGGAGATTCCAAATAGGATATAAAATTAAATGGTCAACCAGCTTTTTACTATAAATTAGGTATAGTATCAGCCTTAGAGCTGGTTGGGATACTTGCAAGATAAAATTTCAATGAGTTGTGAAAACAAAAGTAATTATAAGGTAATTATATCTTTAATGATAATTTCTTTGATTCTGTTATCTTTTACTAAAGTATAACCTAATTAAGTCATTTAGGAATTCTAAATTAAAGCTGGGCATGTAGCTCAGGGTACCAGCACTTGCTTAGCATAAGCAATGTCCTGGGTTCCATCTGCAGCACAGCAAGGAAGCAACAAAACTTCTTGTTCAAAACAATAAGCCTTACTTAAGCTATGTATTTGAACAAACACAGAATGGTCTTATAGCCCAGTATACTGTGATAACTTGGCTAGAATTCTGTACTGTGAGTTGAGCAACAACTGATGATGTATGTAAGCATACACTTAGATAGGTCTCAGCCAGTAATAAACTAAAGAAAGCATCATTTGGATGTGAAAAATGACCAAACAAGTGTTTGAAAAGTGCTATGCATACAATGTATAATAAAAGATGTATTACTTAATATTTTGAAAATCAAAGTAACATTTTAGATAATCCTGAACCAGAAGAGCTTATTTTTATGTTGTTAATTTATTTTTTAAGTAGGATTATGCTTTTCATCTTACTTTTGATAAAGAATCTTAATATTTTAGAATATAACACAAATATACTCTACCAGTGAAGCAGTCACTTTTTAAAAAGTGTAATGTATCTTTTCCCTTTCTCCTGATAAAATGTACTACAACATTCTACAACCTTGTCTGAGATTTCCGGATTGGTGCAGGGTAACTCTCTATGTCCATAAAATGACTGTAAAAATGTGAGCCTTCCCAGCCACTTTCCTCTTCTCAGTACCCACTGACTTAAAGTCCCATTATCCTTCTTGCCTATGCCATCTTAGTGTGATTCAAATTGATCTTTTCAGACTCTGGCTCACCATTTTTCATGAACATTTTTTGATTTTTATACTCAAAGCCTACTCAGAGTCCCAACTACCAATGCTGTAAGAGACTGGGCACATGCTAGCAAGGAGACTCCCCAGAACATCCTCCTAAGGTAAGTAACTACACAGTCCATGGGATGGCAAAGTTCAATAAAGTTCGATTTTGTCTTACAAGTCAAGAAATGAGCTACACTACACTTGCTCAAGAATTTTATTCTTGAAGTTATCACAAATCACAGTTTTGAGTAATGATGCATGGCTAGATAATATATGACAAACCTTAATTAGTAAATATATAGTAGTTAAAAATTGTATGCTCTGATATTCTTACCTTGTGAAGTATAAAAATATTCCATAATTCTTTTGCCTTAACATAATCACAAATATTCTTGTATAATGTTTCTAGTGCCAGCTCATTCTAGAATTGGCTACAATCAACTTATATTCTGTACAACAGATCTCCTGAGGTACATTTTTGATTAAGAATAAACTAATCCCCTCACATACACCTTTTCCTTTGAAGACCGGGTCTCATTAAATACATAGCCCTGGCTGTTTGGAACTCATTATGTCATCTAAACTGGCCTTGAACTCACATAGGGCTGTCAGTCTCTTGCCATTTAGAGCTCAGATTAAAGGTGTATGCTTTAATGCTTCCCTTACGTTTTTAATTCTGTACTTTTCTAAGAGTTTTGTCTAGAAACCCCACTAGTATATAATATTCTACTTAAGCATCCTCAATGAAGTAACTGTGCTGAAACAGTAAGGCAGGAAATAAAAAAATGTCAAGACATATCTGGTAAAAAATATATTACAGAAAAATTAGTTCATGTCCTGCTTAGATAACAGAACATTCCAATGAAAAGTTAATTTGGTTTAAAGGCATTTTTAAGTTTGTAGAGATTCTTTACTGTATGTAGACAGAGTTTTGTGGTTATGTCAATTAAGACTATCTTCATTAAAACTGCCAATATTTTGTCTTCTTTGGGTGGAAAAACATTTTAAAAGTCACTGAAACAAACACAAATTGGACAATGACAAGTTCAGGGTTCAGAGTACTGGTACTTTCACTCTTCAGAGGAACTGGTGTGTGTGTTGGGGTGGGGGGTGTCCTATTCCAAGCACCTACATAGAGGCTCACAACTACCTATCTGTGACTTCAGTTCCAAAGAATCTGTTCCCCTCTTCTGGCCTCCTTGGATGAGGCATTTACGTGGTGCACAAACACTTATACACATAAAATACAAATAAGGACTCTCTCTCTACTAATCTTAAGGAAGTTAGCTTCCCTGCTCACACACTGTTTGCTGTATAAGGCATCTCCACAAAACTCAGCAGCTTAAAACAACTTCCATGACGTAAGTTTGGGAACAACATACATGAACAAAAGTAAATAATCTCTACAAACTTAAAATACCATTAAGCCATTTTTTTTCTTTGGAATGTTGTTCTGATGTACAAGCCACATTTGAATCAATACACAGTAGGTAAAGGAGATTTCCCTTGATGTGTGAGGCTTCATCTACATAGATGATGTCCTGAAGAAAAGGACTAAGGGTCTAGAAATCCAGTTCGATGCTGCAGCATGATGTCCAGCTTCCACACTGCCAGTCTGCCCACTTTATAGATTTCAGACTTCGAACCACTACAACTTCCTGAACCAATTCCTTACAAAAACAAACATCTCTAGGCAGTGGTTCCATTATCAGGAAGACCTAGGGAAATACAGTACCTTTAAAATTTGTGAGCTGCTAACATGAATTCTAATGCCTTCCTAAAGATGTTTATGTTTTGAAACTCCTTTCAAGCCAAACTACTTACTTGTAAATCATCATCTCCTCCTTCAGCCTCATTTTTTGATGCTGGGCACCCTAAAAAAAAGAGGTCACAGTTAATTAAGCATAGGGTGTGTATGTTTGTGTATCTTAGATTTTAGTATTAATGGTTGACTATGTCATTATAAAGATCAGAGATTGATTTCTGGGTTGCCTGGCAACAGACTCAAACCAGACACTTGTATTTATTCCTGTTAGAATAATAAAGTGACTGCTTCCATCATCTCTTGGCAAATTTTCACTTTCTTTTACAGCTAAGCAGACTGGTTGTGCTATATTTCTCTGGTTGTTTAAGTGGTGTCAGAATGTGATTAATTCAGTATTTTTAAATTGTCTGATCCAGGAAACACAAGCATTCAAAATCAAGATTTCAGTTTCTCAAGTTGAAAAGAAGTCAGTCTTAACTCACTATAGGCAGTCAAGGACCCACTGATTGACTTGTGCATACCCATGTCTGCATAAGCTTTTATGGTGTTGAGTGTCTTTCATTACAATAATTAATGGAAAATTATGTGTAATAGTAGAGCATACTGCATTTATATTGTAGACATAGCTAGCACAAAGCAGGCATGCAATTAAAAGAAATGAAGTCCTTGTAAAAAGTAGTTTGTTCACTGGGATAAAAAAATTGACAGAAATTTATTAAGTTCAGAGAACTTTGATGATGGTGATATTCAGTGTTTAACAAGACAGGCTGAATACAATAATAGTAACCCGGAGAGGCAAATGTGCATTTCCTCCTTAAACATAAACTGACACAACACTGTGAACCTGATTTATTCCATCTTAAAAAAGTATTCTCTTGCAAGGTCATAAGTATGGGCTTAAAAAAATTCAAAATATAAACTGTATCACTTTAATTTTAGTAGTTATGAATAATGATTTTCTCTTTAAGATACTTGTTCTATAAAAGTTAGCTAAACAATTAGAATCAACAGGGGAGCTTTAGAAAATATGCCAAATTACCCAGCTGCACACACTATCAAATACACTCAGCATTAAGCATTTTCAAGCTCATGTCTAGTTTTCTCAAAGTAGTTTATTTCTTCAAATTTTTCTAAAATACCACCTTGTACTTCCCTACTTTATGTCTGCGTTCTTTTTCAAATACAGTCTCACCATATAGATATTGCCACACCCCCACCTCAGTTAAGCACAGGGCTAACAGGCATGTTTAACAACACTAAGGATTATCACAGTTTGATCCAGTTACTCTTAGGAAGTTTTTTTTTTTCCTACTATTAAAGACCTTTTTCTTTTCAATCAGGAAAATATATATATATTGGCTATTCTCTCCTAAGGGAAGAGGTGGGTTTAAATGTAATCTCTTTTAGTTTACATAAGCACACACCAGAACTGTGGGAAAATAAATTCTCCATTTAAAATCTCCATGTTTGGGGCTAATCATCATCTGACAAACTGGTAAGATATTAAAGGGGGAATAGATGAGATTGAGGTCTGTTAAATCTCAACATATTCATAGAGTTTTATGACTGAGTATCTAGAGTCTAAATCTATTATATATTTGAGTATTACAAGTTTTCTTTCTATCTCATTAAAGAGAAAAGAGTGTAATATGTCATGACACAACATTGTTGATAGGCTCTTCACAATACAACATTCAACTGGTATCAACTGCTATTTGACAAACATAAAATAAGCCAAGCAGTCTTCTCACTAATCATTCCTCTTTACTCACTGTGTCCTTTCAACGTATGGTCACATAACACAAAAACTTACTTGATTAAAGGACAGCAACCACACACGCACGCACGCACGCACGCACGCACGCACCCACCCACTTGCACTATGTAAACATTCAGAAAATAGTATGAAAAACCTACCTTGAGAAATATCCTCTATTGCTCTCCGAATGCCTCGATCAAAAGCCCTGGCATCAGCAGGACTCTGAAAGGTAAGGCCGAACTTCTTGTCATCGATCTTCCAGTGGTGAAATGTGGGAGTGACCTTATTATAAATGAGGTCTTTTTTAAGCATACATTCCAAAACCACCTGCCAAAAGTCAGGTGCCAAAGTTAATGCACACACAAAACACATCTAATGTAGCTCTTATATAGACACTGAGGACTATAAATATAACAGACATTTTAAAATAATTGAGATATTGACTGCTATCTTCACAAAGTCAAATTCAGGGACTAAGAGGGGATTAAAAAGACCATATAAGTTGTAAACAGAATGTGAATTATGCTACCAACAAGAATAAACACACACTGAATACAAAATTTCTGAAGAACATATTTAAAATTATTTTTGAGAAAGCCTGGGAAAGACACAACAAAAATAGTAATAACAATTTAACTTTAAAAAAAATCTTTCTTGCCTTTTTCCCTTTTGTTTCCGGGTATCTAACAAGTGTTCCACCATTAATTACATCTTCCAGCCACTCCTTTTCTAAATTTCTCAAGAGACCCATTACAGAAGCAGATCAAATACCTACTTACGAATTTAGTAAACTTGGTGATAAAACTTTTTCCCCCTTTGAGACAAGATCTCACTGAGTATGTCTGACTAGCCTGAAACTTCCTAGGCAGATCAGGCTGGCCTCAAGCTCACAGACAGCCTACCTCTGCCTCCCAAGTGCTGGGATTAAAGGTGTGTGGCACCATACCTGGCTCTGGTTTGGTAACTTTTCAAAGCTCTGGCTTCCTCACTTCGAAAAATAAATAATAGTATTAAATACATCCTATAATTTATGAATGAAAGTTTCTTATTTGTGGCACAATACAGCTTTGTTTCTTTATGTATTTTTTTTTTCTGAAATGTTTCCAGGAAGTAACAATAACAGGTAAAATGCCTTTCTCGGTTTAACTTGGGTTACTATTTTTAACATCTGCTCTATATAGTCTAATGTATACAATTTTTATTTTCTTTCATTTGTCTATTTTTGAAGTGCTGTGAATTGTATTTAGGGCCTTGCACTTGGTAGGCAAGTGGTCTACCACTGAGCTACATTCCCAGCCCAACATTTTTGCTTATATTATTCTGAACTGTACCAAGGAGATAATTATTTGATGTCTCATTGCTTTTTAATACTGAGTGCCTTTCATAAGGCTGTTCTTGTATGTAAAACAGTGATCAAAATTAACATGGAGATAACACTTGAACCTCAGTTTTACTTCATATTTTAATTCTGTCTGATAATAACATTTTTAAATCATACATCTTCAATATGGGAGCCAACCTCAGCCTTTGTCTATCATGATATCCACAGACTATTTTCTATCACATTAGCTATAGAATTATAATTACTATAGAAAAATTACACATCTTGGTTAAGATTATTCCAAAGAAAGCAATTAAAAAGCACCTGAGTAACTATTTCCTCACACTAGTCAAAATGACTTCAAATCACTTTGTTTCCTAGTCTGTTTATTCCTAGTGTTCCTAAGACTAGGAATGCTACAAGAACAGGAACTTAGACTCAGCTTGTTACCAAATTGATATTTCATGCTCAAAAACCAGTGGTGAGATCTCAGCATCTCCTCAACCACTGCCCTCTACTCCACCTATCACCTTCAATGGCTTGCCTTTTCCTGATTCCTAACAATCCCCTCAGACAGGGTAACTCTTCTGTGTGTGAAATGATTCCTAGTTTGTTTGTAATTTTTTTTTTAATAAAAAGTATATTTGGCTTTAGCGTTTACAGTCTTCCCAAAGCTAGGATCAAAACCAAAACCATAATCATGGCGGATTACAGCCCAGAGACGGTCCTACTCCATCCATCTGATTTCTTCGTCCATTCTCATTTCCTACTCTTTGTTCCCTTTACTCATCTGACAATGACTCTGGGGAGACACTCCCAGAGACGGGGCAGTACAGGTCACTTTTTTTGTCTACACTTTATTAATACTTCCTACTTTAAGATCTCCATTCACAACTAGGCAGTGGTGGTGCACACCTTTAATCACAGCACCCATAATCACAGCACTCAGGAAGAAGAGGCAAGTGGACCCTGTCTCGATCCAACCCCCACCCCCAAAGATCTCAATTCTCTCTCTCTCTCTCTCTCTCTCTCTCTCTCTCTCTCTCTCTCTGTCTAAAAGCCCTTCTGAGCCCTATACGAGATACAGTCTGATAAAGTCTCTAACTCTGTAATTTCAAATTGGTTCTTTTTTAATACCTTCTTCCACTAAGTCTATAAACTGGGTACTATATTTGGCTATCACTGTATCCCCCCATCCTTATGACACAGAAGCAACCTTACATATCTAACAAACATCCTTCCTCAGAAAAACACATGTGCACAGTTTCTTCAAAAACTGTGTAGGCTTCATGTGTTTTCCAGAGCTCCACCCATGGGTTTAAGTTATACCAGGCTATAGGTGACTTTTACACATTCTGTAGGGTGCAGCGGATAAACCGTTTGGAATTTTGGAAGTCATTATTAAATGCTTAATAATAAAACTTACAATGAAATAAATCACACTAAAAACATACTCAAAACTCACCCCTTCCTAATTACTGCTTCACTTCATGTCATCTGTGTCCTCAGGGCAGTCCCTGCCCTGCCTGTCTAAATAATGGGCAATACACAAGGTAAAATGCTTTTCATTTTTTTCAAACATCATATCCAATGATACTGTTCTGACTAAAGTCAGATGAGGCAGAAGTATGCAAATGCTATATATCATTGCCTCGGTCCCATTTTGAAAGTAATTGTTAAATCTTTATCATCAAGCCACTGGGACTGATGCTTCATAGCAAGTTTTGTTAACTAGGGGAGAAATGCTCTAGGGTTTTGCTGATGACTGCATGTGCGGAAAAGAATGAAAAAACCTTAGGGATTTTTTATCATTCAGCCCTTTACTGAAAGTATTCTATATTGATTTATTATGTTATACAACTATTTTTTTCAGAAATAGAAGAGCCAAATTAAGTTCCAGAACTCAAGAAATAAATACTGTATTGGCATTAATCACTACAATACTCGTACTGTAACTTATTCATAAATGTAGAAAAAGTAGTACTTTTAGAAAATGTTAAACTGGATTGTTTGAAAACAGGAATAAAAAAAAAACCAGTTTGTTTCTAGTTATTAAGTAACATGTCACCAAATCTTACATTTAATGCCTGATAATATTACTGAATTAGCTCATCTGTTAGATTTCTAAAATTAGTACTTTCCAACTGTTTCCTTGTAGATAAAAATCTCAATGTGATCCATACTACTGTCCACCACTAGTTTTCACATGCTACCTTCTCAGAGATACACACACACACACACACACACACACACACACACACGAAAAACAAGTTTTAAAGATGAACCCAAAAGGATACTGAAGAATGGAAAAAATAATGATGCAGTTTTTGGACACACATAAATGCTTATAGAAGAATCTACCAGGAAATCATGTAAACACTGAGTTCATGAAATATACCAACAGGTAGGAGGACAACATGCCAACTAATTATGAACCAGAACTCAATTTGTTTTCATCTATATATTAGGAATTAACTTGCTGATATTACACTATGCATTTAATGTAGCAGAAAACTACGTTTTAGGAAAGGGTTATGATGATGGTAGGTACTGAGGGTTTACTGGGTGAATTTCATCAGGTCCCAATGATAACCTTAAAGCACATTAATGAGTTAGTGAGACAGAAACACACATAAAAATACAAATACATACACACACAAAAATATCCTCATCCTCATTTCTACCCCAAAGAAAAGCTTACATTAAGTTAATACAATATAAAAGCTATTGTATATAGTAATGTAATATTAAATCAATAAAAGTTAACTATAAATAATACTGGGCTAAAATAACCCCCTAATTTGTGACTGATCCATTTAGAATGTGGCTGGTTAGCAAAGATCATATTAAAGAGACATGCTCTAAAAAATCACATTACTATTTTTTTTAACTCAATCATTAGCAAGTATACTTTTGTTAGAAAGTAAAACTGTATTATTCCTATTCTGTTAAGGTTAAAGAGATGTTAATTATAAAACTCTGTGGAATATTATTAGCTGAAGATGTGTTACATTTATGCTGTGTAATATTTATTTAATGATGCAAACATGTGTTGAATACTTTTATGTTTCATTTGTTTAACTCTGTGAAGTTGTGTTACTTTGCCTGTCTAAAACACCTGATCTAATAAAGAGTTGAACAGCCAAGAGTTAGGCAGGAAAGAGGAATAGGCAGGGCTTGCAGGCAGAAAGAATAAATAGGAGGAGAAGAACAGAGAAGAGGAAGGAGAGAGAAACAGGAGGAGAGGAGGACGCCAGGGTCCAGCCACACAGCCAGGTACAGAGTAAGAAGGTATATAGAAAGAAATGTAAAAGCTCAGAGGCAAAGGGCAGATGGGATAATTTAAGAAAATCTGGACAGAAACCAGCCAAGCTAAGGTCAGGCATTCATAAGTAATAAGTCTCCATGTATTTATTTGGGAGCTGGGTATCAGGCCCCTAAAGAGCAAAGAGTAAAAAGACCAACTACAATCTGGAATTTAAAAAATGCTACTACCACCAATTTATTAAACTCCAGTATTAAGGTGAAAGAGGAAAAATGAGGTCTCTGTGCTATTAAGCAGAGCTAAACAAAAATGGAAAAGGATGGTTTATTAGCTAATTTTCTCACTGTTGTGACAGAATACACAAGAAAAGCAAATGAGAGGGTTGTTTTGGACTCATTCTGATGAGCCAACACATATCATGGCAGGAAAAACCTGTGACAGCAGCATGAGGCAGCTGGTCACACATACTGAACCCACAGTAGTCAGGAGGGAATAAAGAAAGATGAATACTTGAACTGCTTGTTTTTTTTTTTTTTTTTTTTTTTTTTTTAATTGG